AACTTTTAAAAGTTTGTCCACTGCTGTTTGTCTAAGATGAACGTGACTACAGACTGCTCTTCTGGCTTCAAATAACTCAAAGTTCCTTAAGAGATTTGTGTGAAAAGCAGGTTAAAGTTATCATTAAATAATATGTCTATTAGGTAGGTTTTTGTTTTTTGTTTTGTTTTTTTCCTTTTTTGATGAAACAAAAAAACCACTTATATTAGACAGTTTGAAGAAACTGAAGAGCATGTCTGACTTTAAGATAAATGCTTCAGTGTTAGATGAATCTTATCAGTATTATAAGTTTAACTAGCAGGTTTTATTGCTTCATAAGCTGCTGATCTGCTGCAGAAACCATTATATTTACTAGATGAGTTTATTGCTTTGTCTGGCAGTGAGGACAGAAGCAACAGTCTGTCAGTTTTATTTATTTGAGGTCTTTCAAGTGTGTTTCTCGAATTAAAATTGATGGATAAAGTTAAAAACTTCCATTCTGACACTGTTGCACATTAGACCAACTGAACAGCTTCATAAATCTAAACWCTACAGAAGAAAACAGCTGCCTCCACGTGTCTGAGTGTGTTTGCACGAGGCCGAGGTGTGTGTGAGAACGCTGCAGCTCTGAAACAGGTGATTATCTCCTTATCCACACAAACTAGATACAGTACGAGACACGTGCACTCACACATACACACACTTTTACACGCTAGAACCAGATAATCCATAATGTAGATCAAACAGAAACGCTCTTTTTTTCCATCAGTGCTTCTCTGACTACAGGAGTAACATTAACTGATCAGGTGACTGAGGAGCGTTTACCTGTGTTTTTTTTAAATGATTATTGTTTTTATTCACTAAGGATGGTGTTTTACTGCWGCAGTTTAAACGCATGGATGAGCAAAAACTGACTCTGTGATACCAAACAAAAAWTTACCAGAAGAGCAGCTGGAGATAAAAGGTAAGAAACTTGCAGTGAAAGACATTAGTCATTATTATTGTCAAATTGACAGTATAAAGATGAAGTTTGTTGCTTTTTCTCTTTGGTAATAACACTCAATAAGGGTTTTTTGACTGGGATATAAGAGTGTAGTCAGGCAGGTGAGAAACATATTAAAGTTATGTAATTATAAACCTTGTAATTTAGTGTATTTTACTAAAATATTTCTAATTAAGTGCAAGTGGGGTCGCTTCACAATAGGGTTGGGCATAATCGTATCGTGTGCAATTAATCGTCAGAAAAACATTAATCGATTACTTTTTGGCATTTGACAATTAATATGATTAATACCACCAGGCAGGCTGACTGGGGATTACTCCGGTCAGTCCACTCGTTGCTCCTCTTCACTTCAAATATGACAAACGTTAAAAATAAAGTTCTGTAACTTATTTATCTATAAAGGCAATTTAAAATATGATGTACAGCCTGAAATCTGTCATTTTCACACAATTTGGAACAATTTTTTACAAATAGCAAATCTTTCCCACTAAACTGGTCATGTGACTATGAAATAAGGGTGTCCAGGGACTCCAGGGGATTAATYGTCAAATTAATCGTTATCTGCTAAATACCACAATTAATCGTCATTAATTTTTTTTGCCAATATTGCCCAACCCTACTTCACAATGTAGATTTATTTAAACATCAGCGCACAACTCCAGCATCAATCTTCACAATAGTATTTTCAACAATATCACAATCTAGGCTATGTTCGGTTTAAATAAGTGTTCACATATTCAAACATTAAAAGTCAAAAATAAAGAATAAATAAAAACAGTAAATTTAAAATATTAGTGTTGGACTTCCTCATTTAGATTTTACAAACATGAAAACGAGTTAAATCAACACTATTCTTTACATCTGAATGTCATTTTCTGAAATGTTAAATATTAAGCAAATCAGTGTTTGCAGATATAAACCTTACGAATAAAGAAAAATAAAAATTCCACTGTGCTCCAAGTTTGTTATTCACAGGACAACATAACGTTCTAATGATGCCAGTGTCTGTTTTTACTCCAAGAGTAGTGTTCATAGAATTATCTGATTATGAGATTAATTAATTCATTATTTCATTGTTATTTAATCTGACAAATCCCAGTGAGATTACAGATCTCTTTTGAAAGGGAAGCCCAGACCTGAAGTCCACCTAAAGTACATGTTTTTGGTCTGTGGGGGTTCCTGGAGAAAACCCACACAAGCACAAGGAGAGACGATGCAAACTCCAGACAAAAAGACCCCAGGTCCTCACCAAGAATTGAACCCATGATCGTCTGGCTGTGAGACATCAGTGCAATCCACTGATCCATCATGCTGCCAGTTAATTGGAAGCAATCCCTAGTCTCACCTGCACCTGTATCACAATAAAAACCAACAATCTGTAAATCCTTAGCACATATGGAAAACACATTCAACTGACCCGATTAATATATTAATGTCAAAATATGCAGGTTTATTTCATATTACTGTCATCCTATTCCCTTTTAACTGTGGGCTTTGTGTATATTGTTTTACTGTCTTACTATATTGTCTTACTTTTAATTACAAAAATATAACGGGTTACTATTTGGGCATAAGAAGTGATTACACTGAAACTGTTGCTTGTTTGTTCACTCTGTTACAACAGCTCATCTGTTGCCTTCTACAGCTTCTGACACTAAATCACATTTTTAAATAATTCATTATATTAATTCTAATAATATTCAGTACCTGCGCACTCTGGACTTGTGGACTCTGGAGCAAGATGGTTCTGTGGTTCTGACTCTGAGCAACAAGACACAGTGTCCCATGAGGCGTCGCGTCATTTGCCACAGCGCCACATAAACACTTGAACGGTGGTTTGCAGACAAAGGTCAACATGCTGCCTCAGCTTTCATCGTCGTCAAACCACGAACTCGTTAAAGTGAAAATGTTGACGAGTTTTGCGCGTTTAGCTGCGCGTGTTTCCAGAGCGTTCCTCTTTTGAGCTGCAACTTTCTGCGCCCCGCACTCGTTCTGCTTTCCGCCTTCCATCACTTCTGACCGCGACGCGTGCGTGCTCAGGGCGCTGACAGCGATATGGCAGGCCATTATAACATATAATCAGACACCGGTATCAGTGATCTGATCAACCCAGTGCCGTAATTAACACGACCCTTGAGGCTCAAACGGTTCTGCCGACAGGGCTTTGCCTAACGAAATTAAGTTTCCGCCTTGAGCTCAATGTATGATAGGCTACATGTCGATATTATGCTTCTGCTGTGTTAGAAAGAAAGAAAGAAAGAAAGAAAGAAAGAAAGAAAGAAAGAAAGAAAGA